TCTGTCTCTCAATCCTTTGAAGATACCTAAATATAATTCTTTTGAATTCCTTATCAGAGAGTTCCAATGCTGCTTCTTCCTCAGGGATGTGTTTTGGGTCTGTATCCTGTTCCCTTGTTTCTACCACTTTATCTTGCTTCTTTGTATGGACTGTGATGGTCTTTTGTCTCCAAGACATCATGGCATTGTTGTATTTAGATCTCTGTTAACTGTTTGTGAAGAGAGCCAAGGGTGAGTCAGGCTTGTCTTGGTGGTTGTTTATTGTTGGCCTGTTGGTGGAGAAGGAGGTAGTGGCTCTCACTCAGTAAGTAAAGGTGCAGGAAGTGTGGGTGTAATGGTGTCATATGGGGATTGTTGCTGTCTTCCACTCAGTTAGACAAAAAGAACAATTGAATAACCATCAAAAATGTAAAAGCCAATGGACAAAAAATACACCATGTAATCACACAGGAACAGTAACTAAAAAAAGAAAAAAGGGGGGAAAACCCTGCAATATCTGGGGAGAGGGCAATAAGAGAAAAAAGGTAGAGAAGGAGAATAATGATGAAAAAATGGGAAAAACGCAAAAAGAAAAACAAGCAATGGGGTTAACCACGAGAAAGAAAAAAAATGCAACTAGGAACAGGGAAAAGGAAAAAAAGGTGAAAACTAGAACCTTGGAGGGGACAAATAAAGAATAATAGTAAAAAGGACAAAAGTAATAATAACGGTAGTAGTTTTGCAACAGACAAAAAGAAACAAACTAAAACACAGAAAAAAGAAAAAAATTTTGAGGTAGGGAGGGGCAGTGCACCCAGGCTCAGTCTGAGCGCAGAGACTGGGATGGAATTCCTGCCAGCCCACAAAGTGCGTAGGAGTGAAGGATGCCCACACCTCCATTAACCAAGAAGGTGGGGGATATAAGAGTAACAAGGGGAATGTTGCACCTTTCCAGACATCCAGGTCCAGAATGTCTTTGCAGTTCCCAGCAAGTGTAGCCTGTTCTTAAGTCCCTGGAATCTGAGAGAACACTGTTGCTTTAAATATCCAAAATGGTCAAGCCGCTTGTAAACATTCAAAATGGCTGTGCCCTCTGGACAGGCAAAAGTCCACAGCTCAGCCTGCCTTCCTCTTTGCTGCTTCCCCTTTTAATTCCCAGCCATCAGAGCAGTCCTCCATGCAGTCACTGGCTAGCAGGGCTGATTTTTAGGTTAATTCTTAGGTCCTACCACCACTGGGCAATATCCAAGGCATCTGTGCTGTCAGGATTGCTGCCAGACCACAGCTCCATATGTCTCCTTTTTGGTGTTTTCATGCAAATTCTTCTGCTAGTTGGAGTTTAGTCCACTTCTATATCCTTCCCTTCAAGGCTCAGGGGTCCAGGATTATCTTCTGTATCTGTGTTAATTGGTTCTCCTTTTCTTTGTTGAAGAGGGTCTGTTCAGTCTTTCTGCCTATTCTGCCATCTTACTGGAACTCCTGAAATGAAATCTTTGACAACTTTGATCTTTTCTCCATTAAAGAGGGCCAAAATATTCTTGTTCTGGCTCTCTCCCAGGGTCATGAGGTATCCCTGAGTAGATCATTTGTGAGAACACTTTGTAAACTGTGAATGCCAAAGCCAGGTCTGGTTTCTCCAACCACATTGAGCTTCCGGAGGTCCTCAATCATGACCAAGGTCCTAATGGACCCCTTTGGTGCCTGTCATGGTGCCTGCCTCACATCAGGGCTTTCTCAGTGAATGCTGGTGGTATGGAATGAAATCACAAACATCAGCATCTTTGGGCTCCTCTTGCTTCATCAAATTCCAGTCATCATTTCCCCCATACTCCAATGATCTTTCAATCTTCTGTTGCTTCCTAAGGACCTTTCTGCACTCAGCCCTCAATACCATCTCTGGACTTTCATTGCCACACCTTTCAGGAGGCACCAGCAAACATTTGAGCAGAGGAGGGGCTCCAGCAGGAAGCAGTGTAGGGAAGGACAAAGTAGGATAAGTGGGAAGCTCCCCCAGGGAATGGGGACCAAAACCTTTGTTCTAGCACTCACTGGCCACTTGCTCTAGGCTCTGGGTTAGGCACTGGGAAGGCAGGGGGAGAAGACATGGATTTCATCCCCACTTACCTCCACTGTCATCCCCAAAGCTTCTGATCTGATTCCTGACCCCCACTTCCACCAGCTCCCAGTCCCTCTGTCTGTGTTCCAGCCTCTTTTTCTCCTACTCTTGCAGCATGCCTAGCTCATTTCTGCCTCAGGGTTTTAGCACATGCTAATCCCTCTGCTGGTAACCCTCCACTCCCCATCATGGCTGGCTCATTCTCATCCTTTAGCTTAAATGCCACCATCTCTGAGAGATTTTCCTTCTTGCCAAGTAGCACCCCTGCCTCCCATTCTTTCTCTCTCAGCCCCTGAATTATCTCATCCATAGCACTTATCACTACAGCTTGTGATCATTATAATTTATTTCTTGTTTCTTTTCTATACTTTTGACTAGAGCCCAAACCCCAACATGGACAAGTACCATATCTGATTTACTGATGTTATTCTCAATTTTATCAAAAGTGCTCAGCACATACATAATAGGAGCTCAATATATGTCTGTGGAATAGATGAGTGTAACGTTAATGAGAGAAAAGGGTAGAAAGGGAAGATTGTGTGTTTATGAGTGTGAAAGGGAGACTCTGGAGGGTGGGCAGGGGTGTTAATTATAAGATGCTGATGGAAAGAAAGAAAAGCAGAAAGACGAAAGTGCTGGAGTACTAGACACAGCTGAGGGGTCATGCTTCAGGCACACTTGTGATGGGAAGAAGCCCTGCCAGGTCGACCCCAGCTTTGCCACTATCTCATACCCTCCAGAGCTTGATCACTGTGTGACCTCAGCCAGTTCCTGGTTCACTCTGGGCCTCAGTTTTCCCAGCTTGTACACTTAGAGGTTAGACCATAATCTCTCTAATGTTTCTGACCTTCATGGGAGGAGGAGAGGGCCCAGGAGTAGAGATTGTTCTGAATATTCTCTCTTTCTTCCTCTTCCTTAACACTTCCCTGAGCTGATTACCAGCTAACCCCACACAGGTGTGAGCTGATAAGGGTTTAAAATATTTCTTGAGGTGTTCTGGAGTCCCTGGGTGGTGCAAATGGCTAACTTGGCTGCTAACTGAAAGCTTTGGAGTCTCAAGTGCACCCAGAGGTACCTCAGAAAAAAAGCTGGGTGATCTTTCAAAAAGTCAGCCATTGTAAACCTTGTGGAGCACAGTTCTACTCTGACACACATGGAGTCCCCACAATTTGGAGTCATCTTGATGGAAGCTGGTTTTTAAGGCATTTCCGATGTCACTGGGGTGTCTGGAGACTGACAGATCCTTCACTGTGTTCAAAGGAAAGAATCTCTAATGGTATAATTTCAAACTTTGGATGGGGGTGAGGCTCTGGGCCTGAGGAATTTTCCAGAGACCTATCAGGCCTTATTGCTCAAGAGACTTTAACAGATTTAAGGGCTAGGAGGGCATTCTGAGAGGTGCAGTGGGCACTGGGGTGTTAATTTACACCTGCTCTATGTTGATACTGGTCAGGTGTGAATGAGACAGCTGCCCAAGTACACCTGCTCATGACAGAGCCCAGTAAGTAACAAAAGAAGCAATTTTATCTCCTGCTGTGCTGGTCTGTCTGCCATCAGAAGCAGACATCTGCTTACATGCTCTATCCTCTGAAATTAACAGGAAGGCATCTGCTGGGGTATGGTGCTGGGCAGGGGAGTAGGTAGGAGGCAGGGAGGACCAGACTTCTGGGTCTGTGTTCCACACCTCTACCACGTAAGTCAGGGAGCTGGAGGTGGAGGTGGGACAGGCCACAGCTGTCCCCCTGCAGACCTAAGGATCTGTCTGGGTCTTGGGGATGTGGCCTCTCCCTGTGGGGTATGACTTGGGGACAGAAAGGTCCAAGCTGTTGCCACTCTTCCTGGTTTTGTGTATGTGTGAGCTGCTGGCCATCCTCAGGAAAGGATATGATAGAAGAGAGGAGAGAGATGGGAGCAGAGATTGCCTACAGATCTGACACATGCTAGCATCCAAAGGCTGGCTGTGGGGAAGCAGATGTGGGCCAGAAGCCCTAGAATGCCTTTGGGTCTCAGTGACCCCAGCTGTAAAATAGGGCTAAAGAACAATTCTTGCTCTACCAGGTTCACAGGGCTCTGGGGAGGATCAGATCAGTTATGGTGGGCAGGGAAAGCCCAGAGATTGGACTCTATTGACTCCTACCCTGAGTGTAGCTCTTGGCAGTTTGAAAGCTGGGGGGGAAAGAGGAAGGTGCCAGATCCCTGGGCCATGTCTGTAGCATTTACAGTCCCCACGGAGCAGATGAAAGGTCTGGGAGTGGGAGAAAGGAAGTTGTGTGTGGAAGTTAGCCCCAAAGAAGTGCTGTGATAGTTCTTGAATGAATGAATGAATACCAAATCAGTCAAATCTCTTTAGAAATAGGATTCAAGAAAAGGTGAGGAGGCTCTAAAATTTTTGCTTGGGGAGCGAATGCCCTAGATCGGGGTCACTATCCCAGGAGGGAGAGGAGAGGCTAGAAAACAGCCGGTACTGTAGGGAGGCCAAGTAGGGAACACAGGGCTTCAGGGAGACAGTGGGCTGAAGGAGCCTCCCACCCTACCTGTAGCATGAGGGACAGGGTGGGAGGAGCAGAGCTCTGGTGAAACTCCTTTTCTCTCACTTCCAAGAACAACTAGGGAAGGAGAGGCTAGGGCAGGGCTATGTGCCTGGAAAGTTCTGGAAAACATTAGGCATCATCATCATCATTATCATAATCATCCCTGTCATCCCAGGGCTTGTCTGCAACCTATTTCTTTAGTTTGAAAGGTCCAGTTGCTTCTTTATTTCTTCCCCCAGACACCCCATCTCTACACCCTCAGGCCAGCCAGGAGCCACAGACAGGGCACTGGGTCTGCTTAAACCTTGGCCTCCTTCCCACTCTCCCTCTTCCAGAGCTCCACGTCCCAGTACCTCGAGAGCCGTGTGGTTGCAGCCAATGTAGAGGGGGATGAAGCTGCCCTTCCTGATGATTGTTGCAAATAGTTGGGTCTTGGAAGTGGCTTCACCAGATTTCTCAGACTGGGTGGGCTGGGAACAGGGTAGGGGAAGAAGACACATGAGAAGGTGAGTGTGGAGGGGGTGACCCTGGTCATAAATCCAGCCCTCTGCAGACAATCATTTGGCATTGCTCCACTGGGCCTCTGAGCTGATAATTAAAGCTCATGGTCCCTGTGAGCCCTTCCAAGGAGATCAATATAATAAATCTTCCCTTTTCCATTTGAATATTTCATCACCCTCACAAGGACCACTTCTGGCCTGCCTGATCTCTTTGTATAGATGTGATAACAAGGTCTGGGGTATAAGTGGACTGAGGGCCAGGAGCCCTGGGTGATGCCGCCAGAATTATATTCAAGTGCTGTGTCTGCCAGGGTAGCTCCCTAATCTCTCTGGGCCTTTGCTTCCTGTCTGCCTGACGCCACATCTCAAAATCACCCTGGGTTCTGTCAGGTTGACCTGGGGTCCAGGGAATGTAAAAATCCCTGGGCCATGACAAAACTCAGAGTTGCAGACACAGGTGTTACTACAGAAAATAGTGCCTATGGCAAGCACTGAAATGACGCCTCTGTGCAAACATCTGACACCCATCTTTTAGATAACTGTGGCATAATATCAGCTCAAAAATACAAGTCAAGTTCATTAATCTTTTACTTAGCACATTATGGCACTACATGAAAATTACAACTGCACTTTCCTTGCTTTCACTGATGAAAATTGGTCTATGATGTGCTAAAAGTAATTTTTTTTCCAGTTTCTTCTTTTTCTACAGTCAGCAGAGTAAGTTCACACAGTTTGCCTTAACCCATGGAGACTCTCAAATATGAAAGCATTATATTTAACTTGCTGAATGATCTCTCACAGCTGGTGATGGAAACTGTGATGGTTAATATAGACTGCTCAGTAGCATCCCCTTTCAAGTGGTGCCCAGGATACATGCCATACCTTAGATATGCCTCTGGTTGCAGGCAAAGGTCAGTGATGAGGACTGGGGGAGAGAGGGAAGAAGGCAACAACTGAGCACCAGCTACCTGCCAGGCACCCTGCTAGGTGCTTTATGCCCAGGGTAGATGACCATGCTAGGTATATATTGTCTCCATTTTGCTGATGGGGAATGGAGGCCTGAGGAGTTAAGCAGTCTCCTACGGGCATCTGAAGTCCCTAGGTGGCACAAGTGGTTAATGCTATCAGCTTCTGACTGAAAATTGGGAGGTTAGTGTTCACCCAGACACACCTTGGAAGGCACTTCCGAAAAAGTCAACTCTTCTGAGCACAGTTCTCCTCTGAGACATATGGGATCAACTCAACAGCAACTGGTTTTATAAACACCCAGCTAGTAAGCAGCAGACCTGGGATTTGAGCCCAGATGATCTGACTTCTGATTGCTTTTCACTCTGCACTACTAAGCATTTGGAGTTTGCACATAGGGCGGAGGGTGATGCTTCTCATCTCTGACCCAGGGCCTGGCACATCATAGTTACTTAATAAGTACTTAAGCAATGAGAGAGTGAATTCTTCCTTCCATTAATCAGCACTGGGGAGGGGAGCCAGGAAGAAGAGCTAGTATGGGAGGTTGAAAACATGGACTGAGGGGCCCTGAGGCTTCCCCACTTCAGGATTACTCCCCAGTTTCCCACCCTGGGGGTACATTCCAGGGAATACGTCATCTCTAATGTATCTCAACTTTCCTCCTGTCCAGGCAGTGTGTGGAGGCAGCACAGAAAGAACTGGCTCGGGAGATAGTGTAACCTGGGTTCACCCCCTATTCTGCCACTCACTAGGTCTGTGACACAGGGTGAGAAAACTCCTTTCCCCAAGCCCTTGTCCTCTGTATGCAAAATATAATTCATCTTGAGGATTGGAAGTGGTAAGTAAAGGACCTGGAACATAGTAGGTACTCTGTAATTACTATTTCTTCAATTTTTAGATCTGCTTCCATCTTTTAACATTTGTAATCAGAATACATCTTTAATTGATGCATTCATTTAATGTGGTAGTTGTTCTGTGGGCTGTGTCATGGAGAGGAATCTAGAGAATCACAAATTCTTGTGTAAATTAATCATTTCTATTTGTCACCCAGGACCCATGTTTCCTAAACCTCACCTGGCCCTCTCTTGCCATTCTGTGGAATGAGCATGAGATTCCCAGAGCTACTCTTGGGAAGAACTGGGGACATAAAAGTGGTTCCTACTTCCGTAGTGATACTGCCTCGGAAACCCAAGGAGGGGTCGCTATGAGTCGGTGCCGACTCCACGGCGCACAACAATAACAACCAGCTTTCCACCCACCTGCCCTAGGCCCATGTGGGCCCCAAGCCCAGGACTCTGACTGACCTTCACCAGTTTGAAGTGGTAGGGGTGGAAGACACGTAGGTATTTGATAGGGATTTTGTAGGACAGCAGTTCCTCTTTCTTTTTGCTGTCCAGCACCTTCAGCACCACATCTGGAGAGAAAAAGTAGGCACAGAGTCAGGACAAGGCTTAGATGACCACCTTGCCTCCCAGTGAGGTGAGATGGGGAGAGGTAATAGACATTGCTGAGGACAGGAGTACAGGCTCCCCACTGAGGAATCAACAACATGTACACTCATGGAAAACACAAGTACATGTGGAGATGTGCACAGACACAACCCACAAGCACTGTCTGAGCCCCTGCACGGGGCAAGTCCCCATGCTAGATGCTATTAGATTTACGCAAAGATGCAATTTTTCCTATGGGCTAGAAACTCCCAGCCAAGGGATGAACACACACAGAACTAAACCCAGCCACCTATGGCAATAGACACACATCTGCACACACACAGATATATACACAAGCAGGAAGAATATACCCCGTCCTAGTAATAAGGTCCCTTATGGTCACATAAACCCTTACTAGCTCCTCAGGCAGGAAGGGAGAGATTATCTCGTACATGTTGCATATGGGAAAACCGAGGCTCAGTAAGAAAAATGATCTGCCCAAGAAATCCTTCAAAGCAAATATCAATAAAAACATACTCCAAATAAATGAGAACTAGTCTAAATGCTAATAATGCACCCTTTAGTGAACTCCTTCCAAAGAGATTGCATTTTGTCATTAAAAAATATAAACTTTGGGATGAATTCTAAAGAAAATACGAATGACCAGGAAATAATCATAGTGATACTACTTAGTGAGAACCTACTGTGTGCCAGGCATGGAGAAGAGCATTCCTCTGCTATTATTTCAATAAATCTCTGCCACAACTCCTTAAGTAGTTATCACTATCTCTGTTTTTAAAGTGTGACCACTGGAGCTCAGAGGGGTTGTATATCTAACTTGATCAATATTACACAGCAAGTAAATAGCTGATGAGAGAGACTGGATTTGTTGACCCTGAGGCTTCTTCACACTCCGGAAGTCTGTGATTTGAGGACGAATATGACATGGAGGAGGAAAAGAAGGGAGAGATGAGAAAGAGGAAAAAGAGACAGAAAGAAAAGGAGTGGAGAAGAAACTGAAAGGGAGGGTGAGGAAGAAGAGAAGTCCCCTCTGCCTCTCTCTTTAAGCTGAGATGATTTCAGCACCAAGGACAGCTACCTGCCCACCTTTGTTTAGCAGGCTGGGATCCCCTTGGTTCTGGGTCACTTGGCACTTAGATGGGTCATTTGAACATGGAGGTGGGTCACTTGGACCTTGGAGTATAGAAAGAAGCTGAGGATCCTGCTAAATACTCTTCCTTTTCCCTTCCTCTTCCAGCTACCCTGGAGGCATGTTGTTGTTGTTGTTATGTGCCGTCGAGTCAGCCCTGACTCATAGCGACCCCTCCTTGGGTTTCCGAGGCAGTATCACTACAGAAGTAGGATTGCCCAACCTTCCTTCCGAGGAGTGGCTGGTGGGTTTGAACCGCCAGCCTTCTGGTTAGCAGTCAAGTGCCTTAGCCACTATGCTACCAGAGCTCCCCCCTGGAGGCATAGAGAAAGACATTTGCCAAGGCCTCTTAAGAGCTGGCTATGTGGGTGGCATCCACGCTTAAAGGAAAGTGCAGATTTGGGACAGAAATGACAGCAAAATTTCTTGGGTTGGTGTTGAAGAAAGAAAGGAATTTGGTTCTAGTATCAAGACACCAACTTGCTCTGTGACATTTAACAAATAATTTGAACTTTATGTTCCTGTTCTGAAAAATATTAATACTTTAAAAAAGAAAAGAAGAAAAAAAAAAGAAAGAAAGAAAACCCATTCTCTCCTAGGATTGTGGTAAGGGTGGGAGTGTGATTTTTAAGCTATAAGATCTTGTGCAATTGTTCCTTGTGGCTGTCACTATTTTCTTCCTTGTTAATTTTCTGCAGCCTTCCATGCACTCACCCAGCTCTGAACAGACGTGAGGAGATTCAGCTGGGGATTCTGCTGCTCCTAGCCAAAGCTGTGGAGGCTGCAGCCCCTTATGCCTATTTCCCAAGGGCCCTGACTTCCCAAATCTGGTTGAGATTCACAGAGGCTTGGCAAAAGGTGAGTGCCCTGCATTACCCCTGCCCCTACCAGCAGATGAGCTGTAATTGGGAGGATGGCTGTCCACTCTTCCCTCCCTGTTCTCTGGCCCTGTCTCCCTGCCTCAAACATGCTTCATCAGCTTCTTCTCTGGGCATTGTGCCCCTCCATCCTCCCGCTGCTCCCTTTGTGCAGCCAACAAGCTATTTCTGCCTCCTGCCTGCTTTGGCCCTGACACAGGGTCTGAAACTCCCCTTCACTTTTCATTAACACATCCTTAAGCTTCTACCCACCCTTCTCCTGCCTCTTGGCCTGGCCTCTGCCTCCCCCACCCCCTACTACAGACATCACCACAGCAACGGATTCCAACAAGGTTCCAAGAAGCATCCAGCTACTTCAATTTGCAAAGAGGTGCTTGCCAATATTCCCTGCCGCCCGGGAGACGTCCTCATCCTCCCATCCTCCTGCCCCTGTTTCTGCTGCAGGTGGGCCGTAAAGCCATTGATCTCATCACACCCCTTTATCTAGTCACGCTGGATGTATAGAGCCCAGGAGAGGATCCTAGCCCAGATCCACTCACTAAACCCCCAACTTCCCATCAGTGATACAAATGCACATGCATGTGTACACACACACCACACAGCACAAAAAGTACATGTACTTAGGCACAGCCAGGCACACACCACCACCCAGACACTTCCAAGCACATACTCAACACATTGTTGCAGCCAGGCACACCAACACACACTTGCACAGAGACATATGCATGCCTATTGGCACAGACACAAGTGTGTACTTAATCATATACACAATGTGGACACATACACAGAAACCAGCCTGCAAAACATCCACAAAGACATGATCACACAGGCTCACATGCATGCTTGCATGAAATTCTAAATCAATTTTCCTTTCTCTTATGCATTTTCTCAAGGAGCTCTGTTGGCATAGTGCCTAAGGCATTCTGGTGGTGGTTCAAACCCACCAGCCACTCCTTGGAAGGAAGGTTGGGCGATCAACTTCCGTAGTGATACTGCCTCAAAAAGTCAAGGAGGGCTCGCTATGAGTCAGATCTGACTCCACGGCAGTGAATTTGGTTTGGTTTTTGGTTTTATGCATTTTCTCAAACCATTTGAACAGCACTACCTCTACCTTTTCAGGCAGAAAAAAAATAATTATTTAATTTGACTTAGAACTAGCTTCTTCCCCTTTTATTAATGTCCCCCCTTCCTTCTCCTTCCTCTGATTCCCACAGCCTCTGAGGAGTTCTGTCCAACCAAGGCCTTGCAAGTTTTTTTTTGTAACAGTGTTCAAGGGGAGGGGTAAATCCTGTTCTCTCAAGGAGGACACCATCTGTAAGAAGGGTAATGGAGGTCCTTCTGACAATATAAGATCAGAGATGTTCCTGGGCACCTTTTGTGTCTGTGCTGACAGTGCCAGTGTCCCCAGCAGTCCAGGCATCAGCTAGCCAGTATTCCTGTGTGCCCAGCCCAAGCTGTCACCCAGAAGTGGAAACTAGATCAGCCCATGGTGTGAAAATGCAATTGTGTGCATGTGGGTGCCTCGGGGCTCAGTCTAAGCCGTATCATGAAACACTGAAATTATCTACTAGTGCTAGAATCTGCCAAAACAAGGGGATTGAAAGAGCTTCCTGGGGGTGGAGGGGAGAGGGCTGTTAAACAGTTACTATAAGAACAGACTCCAACCCTTCAGAAGCCCCAGGGCACTCCGCTCTGATGGTGGGCAGTGACCTGGGAGACCTAGGCAGGGATAAGGATTCAGTCTAGGGACATTTTTTAAAAAAAACATTAAAAAATAATCAACTTGAGGCAGATAGAGACACTGGACCTTTGCAAAAACATACAATGTTGTGCCCTAGACCCTCTGCTTAGTGATTACTTGAATTTGAGCAAATTCTTTAGATTATCCACACCTCAGTTTTCTCATCCAAGCAATGGAGCAGCACTGCTCCTCCTGGGAGACTGTATCTCTGTAAGAATGATGCATGTGGATGTGCTAGGAAGCTGTAATGTGCCGCTGCAGTGGGAAACAGTGGTAATAACAACCATGAAAATAATAACAGTCATAAAAAAGATAAGCTTTCATTGTCTGGAAAATTCATTTATGTGGAACAACTCATTTTTCGAGCAGACTGGGGAGATGAGGCATGACAGGATTATGTTTTTTTTTTTTTTTTTTCCTTTAAAATGCTTTTCCCTGAGCCCAAGGAGGTGTTCAGGTGGCTTCCAGCTGAGTGGTGGTGGGGTTCTGCCGCTGTCTTAAGTAGTTTCCTGCATCATACCCCCTGTCCTACGCTGCCATCCCCACCCAACCCCCAGCCTCACCTTCTTGCCCAGCATCCTCGGCTTGGATCTCTACTTGCACTGTGTCGCCCCAGATGGGGGCTCTGGTGGGCTCTGAGGTCACAGATGTGACTGCCTTGGAAATCTGGCTCTGTGAGTCCTCGGACGTGGTTTTCCTGGGGGAGGGGATGGGCAGAGTTGAGTCAGAGAGAAATGTCCTGCCTGCTGCTCCCCTACCCCACCCTCTTACTTCACTGTCCATAAATCTTGAGCAAAAGATGGACAGAGCATGGGAAGCTTCCTCCCAGGTACAGACAATCCTGTCACCCAAGCCCAGGGCACTCTCTTCTCAGCTGCCCTGCCTGCCCAGGTGACCATACTGATTCACTTCTCACTTGCTGAGACTGGCCCCACAGGCTCAGGGTAAGAGTAAGGGTGGGAGTGGATGCCTGGCCTATCTGACTTTCTGCCCCAGGGAAGGGCTCTTCAGTGTCAACCCATGTGCATAGATGCTTCTCTCTAGCCTCTTCTCTGGGTTCTGCTTAGTGGAAGGAAGCCTCTGGGCAGACTACCTGTTTGGTGTCTCACACCTGGCTATCCTATCTCTTGACCTTCATTTCCCTAAGCTTCTGATCCATATTCTCAAGGTGCCTTCCAGCTCTGTGCACATACCTGCTGCCACCTTTTGCAATGCCCACTGTGTGCCAGGCCTCGGGGACAGGCACATGGGTCTGAGATGGTAGTGAGTGGTTTCCAAACTTCAACCACTCACAGGCCATGCAGGGCCAGGCTGTCAAGGCCTTCTGCATCCCAGTGCATCCCACAGGTATGGAGATAAGTGCCCCCCAGATGGAGCCATAAAACAGCTCCATGAGAGAGTTAATACTTGTGTTGGAGAGATGATTATGCTGGGGCTGTAAGAGGTACTGCTACATTAACTGCAGCAATCCAAGGGGGAGGAATCATCCCCAGAGCCTTTTAGGAGGGCTGCACCACACGCTCACGGGGAAGGGCCTTGTGCACAAGTGAGAACCCAGGGTGGGAAGCAAAGAGGTGACCTCACCATCCTTGACCCCATCCCCAAAGGCTCCCACAAGCCCCCAAAAGGAATGTAGGAGCAGTTGAGCCCCCTTGCATTAGCTACATCAGCCTAGCCTGTTCCTCTCTTCCAAGAAGCTGTCTGGGACTCCCTGGCCCTTCTTGTTCTCTCTTCCCTCTGGACTTAAGTGACACTGTGGCCCCTCTCCTTGCTCCCCACTCAATCCAGCCCTATTCCTATGGATAACCTTTCTTGTAGGAGACTTGCCTCCAAGCTGCAGAGTCCACTAGGAACTTCCCTTCTTCTTTGACTCTCAGGGGCAGTGTGGTGTATTGATTATAACAAGGGCCTTGGAATCAGGGTTTCATATCCCAGTTCTACCCTTTACTGGCTGTGTAACTTTGGGCAAGATATACAACTTTACTGGGCTTCATTTTCTTCATCTGTAAAATGGGAACAATAACAGCTCCTGTCCAGCAGAGTTGTTACAGAAACTAGGTGAATTAATAGGTATAAAAGGCCTGACACATTGTTAAGTACCATAAAAGTGTTAATTGCCACTCACCACCACTATTATTGGGAGCTCTGGTAGCGTAGTGTCTAAGATACTTGACTGCTAACCAGAAGGCTGGCAGTTCAAACCCACCAGCCACTCCTTGGAAGGAAGATGCGGCAATCTATTTCCGTAGTGATACTGCCTTGGAAACCCAAGGAGGGGTCGCTATGAGTCGAGTCCGACTCCATGGCACATAACAACAACCACACTATTATTACTATTACTAGCATTTGTTACCCTAAAGCATTAAAGATCTTGGCTTCAGTGCCTGCCCCTCTGTGATCTGTCCCCCTTGCCCTTAGCAAGGGGGAGTCTACAATGGGGGGTATCTGGCAGCTGTGACCAAGGTGTGGCATCCTGGGGAGAATACCAGCTTTAGAGTCACACAGAACCAGCTTTGAGACCATGATTATGTCTTGGCTAAGTCCCCTCTCTGAGCCTCAGTTTACTCCCCTATAAATGGTGCCTACCTCAGAGGGTGGTTATGAGGATTGGAACGGAAATATGTGAAGTTCCTGACCCCTAAGAGGTGACCATTCATGTTATTTTCTCATGTGTGATACAAAATGGGCCCTAGCCTAGAAGAGGGAGCTCTGATGGCATAGTGCCTAAGGCATGTGTCTGCTAACTAGAAGGCTGGCAGTTCAAACCCACCAGCCACTCCTCAGATGGAAGGTTGGGCAATCTACTTCCGTAGTGATACTGCCTCGGAAACCCAAGGAGGGGTCGGATCCGACTCAACAACAGTGAGTTAGCATAGAAAAGGAGGGTGCCTTTCCTAGAATGCTGGAGCCCCTTCCAGACTCAGTGCCCTCCAGACACACCTCTCCCCCTGCAGGCCTGCTTGAGTGGTCCAGCCAGCTAGACCAGGGGCATGTTGGAGATGGTGGGCTAGAGAGGAGAAGGCATCAAGGCCAGCAGAGCAGTGGAGTACAGCCACCCCCTTCACCCCTTGGACAGGGTGTGGGGCCTGGGGCCTCCTTCCTTCCCAACTGTATGCTGGAGGCTGATTGTGAGGTGACATCTAAGGCGTTCTTGCGTCTCCATGCCCTGACTCTCCTGATAATTGCTGTCTACAGTCTGAGCCTCAGGGCTCTCAGCAACTGCTCACCAGCAACCATTCCACCTGCTGCTCTCCACATGATGTTAATGCTAGACCAGACTTCCAGCCTCCCCTCCTTGGGGAGCTGCACTCTACAGAGGCCAGAGCAGCAAGACATGTGACCCACTAGGGTGGGGTTTCAGGCAGATGTCTAAGGAGGGAGTCTTTCTACATTCCAAACATCAAGCCTGGGCTGGACACAGAATTTGTACACAGGGTGCATAGTCTATTTTTTATTTTATTTTATTTTTATCGTGATTGGGGTGAAAGTTTACAGAGCAAAGCCATTTCCATACAGCAGTTCATACCATTTTGTTTCATGACATTGACTGCAATCCCCACAATGTAACAGCTCTCTTCCCACTTCCTCCCAGTAGTTACCTCTTCCTTGTGTCCTTCTGAACTATCTCCCTGTGCAAATATTGCCCTTCTGTTCTCCCATGACTGACTGCTCTAAGCAGTGTATCTGGTGTAAATGTTTGCCCTATATGCTTATCTATTGTTTGGCTGGAAGCCACAGGAGTGAGTTCAATTTCAGGCCTGAAGGGTAACTAGGGGTCATAGTTGGGGCACATAGTCTTTTGTGTCTCTGGGAGCTTCCCAGGCATCATCAAGTGGTCCTATGTGGCCAGAGAAACCAGAATCAAGATGGTAAGGGACTGACTTAAGTCAACAGAGCAGTGACAAGATTCAGGATGGAACTCTTGACTCATACTTTGCCAGCTTATCTTCTTCTGCCCTGACATCTGCAGCCTTTTGTCCCCTCCCCTTCTCTACACAATTCCAGGAATTCCAGGTGGAAAGTGATGGGACAGAATGAGGAAAACAAAGAAGCCTCATTGGTGCTGACTTCTTCTGGATAGAAAGAGTTAAAGAAGCTCTTCCTCTCCCTCCCATCCATATACCAAAGAGAACTGAGCTAGGTGAGTGGAAATAACTTGGGAGGGGGGGTGAGGCCTCTGGGGAAGGAAGAGGCTTTTAGCAGGTAGATGAAGGCTGTCAGGGTAATGGCTTTTCCTGGCATAGCTGATTCCTCTGGTCCTTGATGCTATTCTAGAAACCAGAGAACAAGAGGGTCCTAGGAGTCCTCACAGAAGGGGACCAGCTCATCCCGACTCCCAGCCTCCAATGTTTGGCCCTCAGTTGAGGTTGAGCATGTGGGAGGTTGAGTGCTAGGTTCCCCAGGCCCCTGATAGAGTGCAGGGTTTCAGGCACTGTTTCAGAGTCCAGGGGCTCTCCATGGCCTGCCCCTCCCATCCTGTCCCTAAAAGCCCCGCTCTAACTCTACAGCCTAGCTCCAACAGTAGCTGACAGCAGTGCCTGCTGTTCTAGGGCTCAGGCGTAATCTAGCCGTAGCCAGGTAGCCACGCCATGATGGAACTAGTGTTCAGAGGCAGAGCAGCAGGCCTGGGCCTCAAGCTGCTAGATGTCTTCCCCTACCCTGTAGAGTGTCAAAAGGGGACGTGTGTGTGTGTGTGTGTGTGTGTGTGTGTGTTTGACAAACTTGAGACCAGAGCCAGATGTCCCTGGAACTCCCACCCTAGCAGAGGGTAGGGGCCAGGCACCTCTGTGAGTGGGAGGGAGAGAACCCCAAAAGTCTTTGCTTTCTTTTTTCGAAGTCATGAATAAGAGCAAATACATTGTCTGGTTCCCTGGCACTGCTGCTGTGAGTCTAGGTGGGCCTTATAGGAAAGCACAGGACATTGATAGGAGTGGGGAGAACTCGAGCATGGTAGCCACTCCCCACTCTCTACCTCTGTTCTCTGGAATGCCCACCCATCCCTACCCAGGTACCAGGTGTGCCATGGTTGGGCCTCATTCTGTCCTGAGAAGGTAGAGCAAATCCCCTTTACTTGCATCCTCCATGCTGGCCTCTAAGTCAGAGAGGCCAGCTTCCTCCAACTTCTAGATGTGCATGAAGCAGCCAGACTCCTGGGCCATGGGGGCAGAGTCTGACCTCCTCTAACTTCACAAGGAGGGAAGAGAATCAAGATCAACAGCCCAAGGCTGGGTCCCATGAAGCAGAGGTCAGACATGCCTCTATCATCCAATGTTTTTTTTAACCAATTCGGACGCCAACCATCCGTCCCCACCCCCTGCCCCACCCCAGCACTCTCTACTTCTCTGCTGGATTCAATAATTCATTGCACTGGCCACAGAGAACTCACAGACAATACTTTTGATTATGGGGTTTATTAGGGAAGTAACAGGATATAATTCAGGATCAGAAATGACTCAAGAGTTTTTGTTTGTTTGTTTGTTTTTTGTTTTTTAGGACAGCCTCTTCTCAGCATTGCCCCATAGGCATACTCTCTCTGAGACCCTCAGCCTCTTGGCCTTGTGGCCCTTTGGCCTCTGCCCTGTTTGGGTAAGTGTTATAAAGCTCCTTTAGCTCTGCCAATAAGTGCTCAGAGGCACCCCACTCCTCCAGTAAGCCTTGGCTAGAAGGTCCTCAGCTTTCTTGGTCCATAGGCCTGGA